GGCACCCATAAGGACGATCCACCTAGAATTGTGTGTCCATGGGCACCCATAAGAACGGTCCACCTAGAATTGTGTGGCCATGGGCTCCCATACAGACGGTCCACCCAGAATTGTGTGGCCATGGGCATCCATAAGGACGGTCCTCCTAGAATTGTGTGTCCATGGGCTCCCATACAGACGGTCCACCTAGAATTGTGTGGCCATGGGCACCCATAAGGACGTTCCACCTAGAATTGTGTTGCCATGGGCACCCATAAGGACGGTCCACCTAGAAATGTGTAGCCATGGCCACCCATAAGGACGGTCCACCTAGAATTGTGTGTCCATGGGCACCCATAAGGACGGTCCACCTAGAATTGTGTGCCCATGGGCATCCATAAGGACGGTCCACCTAGAATTGTGTGTCCATGGGCACCCATAAGGACGGTCCACCTAGAATTGTGTGCCCATGGGCATCCATAAGGACGGTCCACCTAGAATTGTGTGTCCATGGGCACCCATAAGGACGGTCCACCTAGAATTGTGTGCCCATGGGCATCCATAAGGACGGTCCACCTAGAATTGTGTGTCCATGGGCACCCATAAGGACGGTCCACCTAGAATTGTGTGCCCATGGGCATCCATAAGGACGGTCCACCTAGAATTGTGTGTCCATGGGCACCCATAAGGACGGTCCACCTAGAATTGTGTGCCCATGGGCATCCATAAGGACGGTCCACCTAGAATTGTGTGTCCATGGGCACCCATAAGGACGGTCCACCTAGAATTGTGTGCCCATGGGCATCCATAAGGACGGTCCACCTAGAATTGTGTGTCCATGGGCACCCATAAGGACGGTCCACCTAGAATTGTGTGGCCATGGGCACCCATAAGGACGGTCCACCTAGAATTGTGTGGCCATGGGAACTCATAAGGACGGTCCTCTTTGAATTGTGTGTCCATGGGCACCCATAAGGATGGTCCACCTAGAATTGTGTGCCCATGGGCATCCATAAGGACGGTCCACCTAGAATTGTGTGTCCATGGGCACCCATAAGGACGATCCACCTAGAATTGTGTGTCCATGGGCACCCATAAAGATGGTCCACCTAGAATTGTGTGGCCATGGGCACCCATAAGGATGATCCACCTAGAATTGTGTAGCCATGGGCACCCTTAAGGACGGTCCACCTAGAATTGTGTGTCCATGGGCACCCATAAGGACGATCCACCTAGAATTGTGTGGCCATGGGCACCCATAAGGACGGTCCACCTAGAATTGTGTGGCCATGGGAACCCATAAGGACGGTCCTCTTTGAATTGTGTGTCCATGGGCACCCATAAGGATGGTCCACCTAGAATTGTGTGCCCATGGGCATCCATAAGGACGGTCCACCTAGAATTGTGTGTCCATGGGCACCCATAAGGACGATCCACCTAGAATTGTGTGTCCATGGGCACCCATAAAGATGGTCCACCTAGAATTGTGTGGCCATGGGCACCCATAAGGATGATCCACCTAGAATTGTGTAGCCATGGGCACCCTTAAGGACGGTCCACCTAGAATTGTGTGTCCATGGGCACCCATAAGGACGATCCACCTAGAATTGTGTGGCCATGGGCACCGATAAGGACGGTCCACCTAGAATTGTGCAGCCATGGGCACCCATAAGGACGATCCACCTAGAATTGTGTGGCCATGGGCACCCATAAGAACGGTCCACCTAGAATTGTGTGGCCATGGGCACCGATAAGGACGATCCACCTAGAATTGTGTGGCCATGGGCACCGATAAGGACGGTCCACCTAGAATTGTGCAGCCATGGGCACCCATAAGGACGATCCACCTAGAATTGTGTGGCCATGGGCACCTCTGACCATAAAGCCGGCCTCCCGTATTGTATCCTATGAAGTCTAATCATATTGAACTGACTCGTCCATACCTGAGATATACCGTTGAGTCGCGTTTGCTTATTTTCTGCAGGAACATCAGATAGAACCTAAGATATGGCTCCGGGCCAATTCTTACATATCTGAGCCATCACTCCGTCCCTGGAGGTTCTGCTCTCCAGAAAACATGGCCAGGTCTCTCTCTCTCTCTCTTCTTCTTAAAAGGTTTATAATGAAACAATTCCCCGATAAGTTACGTTATCAAAGCCAACTGCCGAGCCTCACCTTGTGCCGGGCTAATAGGCAACGACTGCTCGTCTATAAGACGGAGGTGAGGGCCTTGCGGTGGAGCTGAGACGTTTCCATGGCACGCCGATCCCTCCAAGAAGCTTTTCTTCTGCTTCAGTTTAAAGGAACAGAACGAGAAGCTCCTCGTGCAGTAAATTTCCCAGCTCGTGCCTTCCATAGACCCGGGGAGAGGGTGCCGATGAAAAGCACATGGCTGCTCACGCGTCTGTTTTGGAGGTTTTTACGTCCTTTCTTCTACTGGTCTTCATCAGCCTCCGCAAGCTTGAGATAGTCCAGGGACACTGCGGAAGCCAGGGGGATCCTGACGGTGGACCGTTACACAAGGAGGAAGTCATGGGTATCCTCAAGGCTGGGCTGAGTAGGGGTGACTGAGCAATTAAACTTTGGGGAACAATTGTAGAGATTTTAAAGGAAACCCTTTAAAGTTGGAAGCCCGAGGCAAGGCCGGAGGTCAGGTTTGATGTCTCTTGAATAGTCATCTTCAATATTTCTCAATGTGCCGTTAAAATAATACATGCTCATCTAGCCATGAAGGTTATTGGACAGGAACTTCCTGGTATAGGGTGACAACGCTCTGTACCTTGTCTCCCAGCTGTCCTCATCCGTTGTCACCTTGCCCCATGGGCTTCTGGTGGAGATTTCAATAATGCTTAACCAAACCAGACTCGGCTGGAAGCAGTGGACCCGTGATTTAGCCAGGCAGGGCAGAGCAAAGGGTGGAGGGCCTCAGAAGAAAAAGACCATCCCTATGTTACCCATCAAAAGCCCATGGGGCAAGGTGACAACGTAGGAGGACAACTGGGAGACAAGGGACAGAGTGTTGTCACCCTATAACAGGAAGTTCCTGTCCAATAACCTTCATGGCTAGATGAGCATGTATTATTTTAATGAAAATATATTTTTGGTACGTCAGGGTATGTGGAGCATGTGACCCCCCCTTCCTGTGTGGTATAACATGGTGACAGGTAGACAATCCCCAGCTTGTGGAGCTTACACAAGGATTCCTCACTTTGATCCCAAACAAAAGGAAGGTTTGTGGACACCTGACCATCACACCTATATGAGCTTTTTTGGACATCCCATTCCAAAAACCATAGGCCTCCCAACCCTGATTTTATTCTTTATGGTTTTAGGCCAACATGGCTGACCTTGGGGTGCAGATTGGTAGACCTGGGCAGGACTTACATTCCTGGATACAGCAGACCTGCCTCAAGTCCCTTCCTTGTACTAGATAGAGAAGTCCTCTGTGAAGGAAAGGGACTTGGTGGTCTGGTACACTGATCGGCATGCCTTGCCCTGTATGGTTTGAAAGCATTGGAAGACCTAAGGTGCCAATAAAAGTTAGACTTCACCCTCCAGAACCTGCGAGGAAGTGGTCTAATGTCTATAATGGGACCATATGAAGGCCTCGGGCCATCTCTGATGTTATTTAATGAATTATGGACAATGTAACAGGAGGAGCCGGAAAATACAAAGTCGGGTAGGATGAGCCAAAACTCCCGGGAGGACAGGAAGTGGGAAAGGTGTCCCCGGTCTGACTCTGTCCACCAGGATCCAGTGAAATATACACTATATTGCCAAAAGTATTGGGACGCCTTTACACGCACATGAACTTTAATGGCCCCCCAGTCTTAGTCCGTAGGGTTCAGTATTGGGTTGGCTCCGCCCTCTAATGGCATCCCAGTCTTAGTCTGTAGGGTTCAGTATTGGGTTGGCTCCGCCCCTTTGCCGCTATAACAGCTCCGCCTCTTCTGGGAAGGCGTCCACAAGGTTTAGAAGTGTGTCTATGGGAATCTTGGACCATTTGTGAGGTCAGGTACTGATGTTGGGGGAGGGGCTCGCAGTCTCCGCTCTAATTCATCCCAAAGGTGTTCTATGGGGTTGAGGTCAGGACTCTGTGCGGCCAGTCACGTTCCTCCCCCCCAAACTCAACCCATCCATGTCTTTATGGACCTTGCTTTGTGCACTGGTGCACAGTCATGTTGGAACAGGAAAGGGCCGTCCCCAAACTCCTCCCACAAAGTTGGGAGCATGAAATTGTCCAAAATGTCTTGGTGTGCTGATGCCTTAAGAGTTCCCTTCCCTGGGACTAAGGGGTGGAGCCCAACCCTTGAAAAACAACCTCCCCCCATAATCCCCCCTCCCCCAAACTTTACACTTGGCACAATGCAGTCAGGCAAGTACCGTTCTCCTGGCAACCGCCAAACCCAGACACGCCCATCGGATTGCCAGACAGAGAAGCGTGATTGGTCCCTCCAGAGACCACGCCTCCACTTCTCTAGAGTCCAGTGGCGGCGCGCTTTACACCGCGGCATCCCACGCTTTGCATTGCACTTGGTGATGTGCGGCTTGGATGCAGCTGCTCGGCCATGGAAACCCATTCCATGAAGCTCTCTACGCACTGTTGTTGCGCCAATCTGAAGGCCGCATGGAGTTTGGAGGTCTGTAGCTATTGGCTCTGCAGACAGTTGGCGACTTCTGCGCACTGTGCGCTTCAGCATGCGCTGACCCCGCTCTGTCATGTGACGTGGCCGACCACTTCCTGGCTGAGTTGCTGTTGTTCCCGGTTGCTTCCACTTTGTTATAATCTGAGTAACAGGTGACCGCGGCGGAATATTTAGTAGCCGGGAAATGTCACGGAACACCTGAATCCAATGATTTGGAGGGGGAGGGGCCCAATACTTTTGGCAATATAGTGTAGTCCAAGTCACGCTAATGAGAGTTAAAACCTCGTTAGGGTCCCGGCTCCGGGCCCCCGTGATCTGGTGCACATTGTATTACCGATGCTTCATTAACCGCCAGTCCATGGAAAGAGCCGGCAGTCTATTGTTACCTAATCCCCGATCATTAATCCCAACATATCAGACCGATGAAAACGAAAAAGTCAGATCAATAGAACTCTGCTCCGCGTCAGCCACTTAAGAAGTAAATTGACTTAACCTCTGTTCCATACCGAGTGGGAAGGTCTATAATTCACTCACGTTGGACCTGACCGTGGATCTTGTTACCACCATCAATCTCAACCATCAAGCAGGACTCCGGCCAGACATCGCTCAGCCCCGGTACAAGGATGTCAACTGGTCCAGCTGCCAAAATATTTGTCCACGAGGGCTTTTTGGACACATGAGCTGGCCATAGTCAGAACCTGTAGCTATATGGGTCACCTCCTCAGTTGTAGTGATCTATACGGGAGCCTCATCGAGGAGGATAGTGCTGTCCGCATGGGGGCCAATATTCATAGCCACGTCATTGTCCATAAGACCACCCGAGCCAGCTCCAGCCTTCTCAATCCCAGAGTGGTCTGTACAGGAGCCTCATCGAGGAGGACAGTGCTCTCCACATGGAGGCCATTACTCGTAGCCACGTCATTGTCCATAAGACCACCCGAGCCAGCTCCAGCCTTCTCAATCCCAGAGTGGTCTGTACAGGAGCCTCATCGAGGAGGACAGTGCTCTCCACATGGAGGCCATTACTCGTAGCCACGTCATTGTCCATAAGACCACCCGAGCCAGCTCCAGCCTTCTCAATCCCAGAGTGGTCTGTACAGGAGCCTCATCGAGGAGGACAGTGCTCTCCACATGGAGGCCATTACTCGTAGCCACGTCATTGTCCATAAGACCACCCGAGCCAGCTCCAGCCTTCTCAATCCCAGAGTGGTCTGTACAGGAGCCTCATCGAGGAGGACAGTGCTGTCCGCATGGGGGCCAATATTCATAGCCACGTCATTGTCCATAAGACCACCCGAGCCAGCTCCAGCCTTCTCAATCCCAGAGTGGTCTGTACAGGAGCCTCATCGAGGAGGACAGTGCTGTCCACATGGGGGCCAATATTCGTAGCTATGTCATTGTCCATAAGACCACCCGAGCCAGCTCCAGCCTTCTCAATCCCAGAGTGGTCTGTACAGGAGCCTCATCGAGGAGGACAGTGCTGTCCGCATGGGGGCCAATATTCATAGCCACGTCATTGTCCATAAGACCACCCGAGCCACCTCCAGCCTTCTCAATCAAAAAGTGGTCTATAGAGGAGCCTCATCGAGGAGGACAGTGATGTCCACATGGAGGCCATTACTCGTAGCTATGTCATTGTCCATAAGAGCACCCGAGCTACCTCCAGACTCCTCAATCCCGAAACTTTATAGAACTTAATGTTCCAAGGAGCCTGACTGTGTTCACAAGAACCCTACGTCTAGTAAGAGAGTCAAACCAATGGCCAACCAAGCCTGTATTGGTTCATATTGGGGTGACGGTAAACGGCCAACGTGTTTCGGCAGCTCTGGAACTTCCCCTTCATCAGTCTTGGTTTAAGAAATAACTGGAAAAAAAGAAGATAGACGAAGGGTAAGGGTTGGACCATGGCACTCATCAGGTGCAGCATCTTGGTGGATAAGTCCAGGATTCCACAAATCCAACCCAGCTTCTATTCTGTTGGTTTATAATGGGGTGATGTTGAACATCCAACGCATTTCGGGGGGCTCTGGCACTCACCCTTCATCAGGGCTTGGAAAGAGAGTCTTGGTTTGAGGAATAATTGGAAAAAATACATAGACAAAGGGTAAGGGTTCGACCATGGCACTCATCAGGTGCAGCGTCTTGGTGGATAAGTCCGGGGTTCCACAAACCCAATCAAGCTTCTATTGGTTCATAATGGGGTGACGTTGAACATCCAAAGCGTTTCAGGAGCTCTGGGACTTCCCCTTCATCAGGGCTCGGTAAGAGAGTCTCGGTTCAAGATAGATCGACCAACACTCATCAGGTGCAGGATCACGGTGGATAATTGACACGGCATGAAGTCCAGGGTTCCGCAAAATCCAACCAAGCTTCTGTTGGTTTATATTGGGGGGACATTGAGCATTCAATGTGTTTCAGCAGCTCTGGCACCTCCCCTTCATCAGGGCTTGGTAAGAGAGTCTTGGTTCAAGATAGATCGACCAACACTCATCAGGTGCAGGATCACGGTGGATAATTGACACGGCATGAAGTCCAGGGTTCCGCAAAATCCAACCAAGCTTCTGTTGGTTTATATTGGGGGGACATTGAGCATTCAATGTGTTTCAGCAGCTCTGGCACCTCCCCTTCATCAGGGCTTGGTAAGAGAGTCTTGGTTCAAGATAGATCGACCAACACTCATCAGGTGCAGGATCACGGTGGATAATTGACACGGCATGAAGTCCAGGGTTCCGCAAAATCCAACCAAGCTTCTGTTGGTTTATATTGGGGGGACATTGAGCATTCAATGTGTTTCAGCAGCTCTGGCACCTCCCCTTCATCAGGGCTTGGTAAGAGAGTCTTGGTTCAAGATAGATCGACCAACACTCATCAGGTGAAGGATCAGGATGCGAGCAGCATATTCTGCAAAATCCATTGAAGGTCGGGTGCCCCCCCCGAAACACGTTGGCTGTTTACCTCCTCAATAGACTTTTTGGTTGGTTCGGTGATCTTATTGAACTTGTGCCTTGTGGACGTTCCCCCAGCCCCCCCCGAGTCTTCTGGTGATGGGTACTCTCCTTGTATGTGAGCAACCTCACCAGAGCTTTCCACATAACGACTTTCCACCGACGATGAGACATTGAGAAGATCCGGAGCCCTATATACATTCTATTTGTCTCATTGTATTGGAACTACCTAACCGTCACTGATTTCTGGTGTCACATTGGATTAAGGGCTTCGTACAGACAGAAGCTGCCCCGCCCGACCCCGCGAGACCCGACGTGACGGTACT